ATGAGCTTATATCTTTAAAAATGTCAATATTTCTCAAGATACAAGGTAATTTCTTAATTATTGACATTTTTTAAGATATAAGCTCATTCTGATGTTACACTCATCGAGACCTTTCATTCAAGTACCCACATGGCATTTTTCATATATTTTTCGTATATACATATATATAATATATAAAATATATCAAAAATTGATGTGGGTACTCAAATGAAAGCTCTTGATGAGCGTTATGTCAAGATGAGCTTATATCTTAAGAAATATCAATAGTTCACAAGATACAATGTAATTTCTTAATTATGTATCTAGACCTTGATACTAAATTCCACTAAAAAAAACCAATTTTATCATATAACTACCCTGGAGACATTTTTCATATTATCTTTATAATATGGATAGCAATAATAATAATAATAATAATAATAATAATTATAATAAAATATAATTACATAACAAGTTTCTGCCATTTAAAAGTATCCGGAAGTTTACTGTGCGACTGCTGAATAAAATTAAGCAATTTTTCAAAATGTAACATAACAGGTTTCTTTTGCTGAATAGCTTCCTCAGTAGCAGCTTTATTTTCTTCTTTCTCCGCCTGCTCTTTCATCAACTCCTGCAACCGGAGTCGTTCTTTGCTAGGATCATCAACAATCTTAGCCTTGAGTTGCTGAGAAATAGACTCGAGTTTGCTGACCTCATTACACTTGTTAGCATAAGCCTCCCTCAACTTACTGCAAGTCTTCAGAAGATCTTCATTATGTTTTCGAGTCATTTCTATTTTTTCCTGTCTTCTTTTCATCCTGGCTTTAATTTCTTCCGATTTCTTGTTATTCGCCTCAATTTGAGCCATCATGGCAGCCATATCCGCGGCTTTTTTGTTCATTTGTTCCTTCATCTCATCCGACTTCTTCTTGGTGTTCTCAATCTCCTGAGCCTTTGCAAAAATCTTGTCTGTCTCTTCTTGCATCTTGATGGACGCACCCTCGGCATACAAAGCGAAGTTAGCGAGGAATTTTATTATTTTCCTGGTGCGCTTAGCTCCAGGTGCTGTGATGTCTGTCACAGAAAAATCTTTAACAAATATTTTCTCACCGATGATGCTGATTACTTCACTTAGGTTCAATAAAGCTATCACGTGAGATGCGTTTTGCTCACCGGTGACTTTTAAAAGCTCAACTTGCTCAAATGCCAGCTATAATTAATTAATAATAATTAATTTATTAAATAATTCATTTATTGGATTTTTATGAAACATCAATTATTATAAAAAAAAAAATTATTTAAAAAATTGACATAAAAAAATTAAAAATTCTATTTTTTTTTTAAATAATTCTACTTAAAAAATTTGCTTGTCAAAAAAATGAAAATTAAGTTAGCCGACATGTAAAAAATTTCATTTGTAAAAAACTAGAAAAACTTCAAGTGCAATTTTTAAAAATATTTTATAGTTCTAATTTAATAAATGAAAAAATTAAAAACAATTAAATTAATTCTAAAAATTGCATTTTTTATTTTCTAAAATTTCTACATGTCAATTTTTTTTGCTATAATTTATTAAAAAAAAAAATAAAATTTAAAAATTATTAAATCTGCTAAATTTATTTTCATCAAATGACGTTAAAGTTAGCTGTCACTTGATTAATTTTTTAATTTTATTTAACAATTAAATTAATTCTAAAGATGATTTTTAAAAAATTTCATTTTTAATTCTTTAAAATTTCTTATGTCAATTTTTTTTTATCGTAATTTATTTGTTAACAAAAGTTTTAAAAATGATTAAATATCTGCTAAATTAATTTTCAATTATGTCAAATAAAATTGCATTTTTTTGCTTTTTAAAATTTCTACATGTCAATTTTTTTTGCCATAATTTATTTGTTATAAAATTATTAAATATATGCTAAATTAATATCCATATTTTTAAAAAATAAGAAATTACCTGAGTCAGTGTCAGGGCATCAATGTGAAATCTTTGGCAAAAATCTGTGAGAAATTTAATCATAAATGGTTCAGTTGGGTTTTTAAGATCCTCCATAGTAACTGGGAACCCGAGTTCAGTTAGCAAAGAATAAACAGATTCCGGTGAAAAATCCATTGTAATCAGCTGATTTTATTACTTTCACTATCACTAATTGTTGTTTTTTTAATTTTTTTCTATTATTACTCTTTTTTTGGTTTTTAAAATTATTTAAATCACTATTTTTTATTAAAATTTTTATGAGAGCGTTTGTTGTGACCGTTGTATTTGAAATAATACATAACCACAAAATCTGAGCTACACTTTTGAATGAATTTTGAGAATTTACCAAAGTGACATCTATTGTTAAATAAAAGCGCGAAAATTTAAAATATTTATTTAGTTAAATTTTAAAAACATAATTTTTACAAATAAATATTTTCGACACATTTTTTTTAAATAATTAAATTATTATTATTCAAAAATTTTATATTTAGAATTTAAAAAATATAAGTGCAAATTTGAAAATAAAATTTTTTTTTTAAATATCTGCTGATTTCAATTTAATTATTTTTTTCACACATTTTTATAATAACAATATTAAATTATTTATAATAGCTTAAAGAAAAATAATAATAATAAAACATTAATTATACAAGTTAAATTAAATTTTTTTCATTTTAATCAATTATTTTAAAAAAAATATTCAAAAAAGTTCTCACCTTTAATTTTTTTAAATTTCTAAATGTGAAATTTTTAACAAAAATCTAAAAATTATTAAATTATAAAAAATAAAATTCATTTTTTTAATATTTAATTTAATGAAAATAAATTATAGGGTAAAAGACCCTATTAGTGGTGGGAAGTAATGGGAACCCCATTACTTTTTTTGATTTTGGTACTTATTCAATTTATGAAATCATTAATTTCAATAATGAATATATATCATTTCTAATATTTAAGACCTTTAGATCAAAAAAATTTTCAATTTTTATTCCAAGTAGAACATTTTATCATTGAAAGAAATAGTGCTACTAATAGGTGTTAAATTCAAAAAAAGTCACTATAATTTTCAAGTATGATTAGTTTATTTACCATAAATTAAAAATATAAGCTAACATAAATCAATTACAATAATAAATCGTATTAATAAACCATGTCTTGTCTAAAAGCTTGGAAAAATAATTAACATTACGCCTATACACTTCAACTTAATAATAACATAACCTCTACAAACCAAAAGTTACTTTTTAAACTTTCCAATTTACAAGACATAATCAAGCTCATATCGAATATATTGATTCTTAGGATCATTCATAATCCTGGGATACCCCGCCACAAGTGCGTCTTGCCCGCCAATATAAAGCGAGTTATAAATCTTCCAATAGACATCCCTAACCTTCCTAGCCGGATGAAACAGTCCCTGAAGAGTGTACTGAAGAATCTTGATAGGTCCCAGCGCGACCCTGAGTCCATCCACAGCATCCATGAAAGCCTGAACCAAATGCGGCGAAGTTTCAAAGACATTCGGCCAAACGTGGTTCAACAAATGAATCAGCGCATCTTCACATCCAAAGCCATAAACTCCAAGCGCCATGTGTTTGATAGCAGCGCAAGCGGTCTGTCTATGAACTAAATCTCGGTCCATAAGCGCATCTTCCAACAGCGGACTTACCGCGTAGATGTAATCCTTGCCCATCTCCCCAATGTACTCGAACAAGAACGAGAGCGACTTAAGCACTCCATTTTGGACGTTTAGTTCCGGAACCCGGTACTCGTTCATCAGCGCCGGAAGGACCGTGAACGGGCTGCAAGTTTCCGCGACAATTGCAATAGCAACAGTGGTGCAAACTCTGTTCTGTCGCTCCTGGACCTTCAAATTGTTCAATAGAGTCGCTAAAACATCATGCGGACCAATTGCCTTAGCAATGTACCCAAAAGTGTTAACAGTCGCCCGGCGGATCGCTTTTTTGTGTGCTTTTAACAGTTCTAGAAGCTCGAAACAAATTCGCATCCATTCTCTAGCAGAAACATACTCCGGCCCGCGGTCAGCTATCCTTCCCACTAAATCAATACAGTTCTCCTGAACCTTTTCATGCCGGTTCTTCAAAATGGGCGTCAATCTAGGCAACAAGTCTTTGATCGGTGGCGTCATCTTTGTCATTCCAATGACATTAACTATAGCCTTAAGCGCTCCTAAAATGCTACCCAGAACCTCTGGGTACTCTTCACCCAAATATTCATACAAGACTACACCCAAGTGACCCATAAGCTTTTCCTCCTGACAGGTTTTCATCACTACCGCGATCCTAGATATCAAATCAGCGGCCTGCTGTCTCACTTTAGCGGACTTGTTATTCAACCTCCACAAAATAGTTCCGCAAATCTGAGGAAGGTAGGGCTTAACACGCTTTCCTAGGGTATTAACAATAGTTCCAAAGCCGTTGAGCATAACAACGTCCTCTGTAGTCTGTTCCTGGAACGCGTACAGAATGCCATCTATCAACTGTTCCTCTAACCTCGAGTCCACATCAGCAGCTCCCAAGTTCCCCATAATTTTCTCTATAGTCTCCATAACCATTTTCCGATACTGCTCATTCTCATCTTTAAGATCGTCCACAACTCTATTAATTATCTCAGAAGCGCCGACTTTATTCGCAATCTCTACAGTAGTGTCTACCAACTGTCGGTAATTCCTTCTGTCCAGCGCCATGCGATGGTTCCAGAAGTGCTTAAAAAAGTGGGGCAAAATTTCATCTTTTATATACTGAGCTTCAACTCCGTCCGTTCCACAACACTGCTTAACAACCTTAAGCACAATCTTTTTCATTTCCTCATCAGGGGACTGGAACTCTCTAATTAGAATCAACATTACTTCCCTAGTATAGTAATTAGCGTACTCGGCGTCCATTAAGGGAATCAAGTACCCAATGGCTTTCAAAAAAGCAGCCAAACCCTTTCCTCTATGGGTTCTAATACCTTTCCACAAGGGTTTTAGCACCGAATCAAAGCTTTCAATACCGTAAGGCGTAGCAGCTTCGGCTAGCGCTGCGATCGCTAAGGCAGTAATCGTCCTTACCTTCTGCTGCTCATCAACCAACCCATGCTCTATAATCTCCACCAAACTCTTCAAGTGAGGGAGAATTGCACACCCCATTAAGATAGCTATCTGCTGTACGATTTTTATACCAGTGTGCCTAGCCTGCCAGGATTTCTTGCTCCGGCATACGGCTTTTAAAAATGGGAGTAGTGAGGGGATTCCCAGGGCTGAAGCTACTACTGCAAAGGCTCTAGCCGTTGTGTTTCTTACATACTCATCAATGTTATCAATATCTGGCCTCATGGTGGAGATCATGGTAGCTAAGCCTGCGGCTTTAGCGAGGTTAGAAATGATCTCTCTACCTTCAACTCTAGCGTAGTAGTCTTCGTCAATTAGCAGCGGTTCTATCACTACCAAGATTTTGTGGACATAAGGACGCACTAGGTCGTCTAATTTGTAAAGTATGCGGTCTATAACCTTGACTAAGAGATGGCGCTCTTGGTCTTCTAGAGTAGGGGACATTAATAGGGGCAGAATTTGGTTGAACAAAGGACCAGCTCCGAATTCTCGGGCTTTGTCGGTAATTTGTCTCAGCGCTGCTTTCCTCATCGGAGGAGTTCCATTTTTTATTTTAAGCAAAAGCTTCATTATTTTTCTCTCTTTTTGCTCCTCAGGGCTTAGAGACTCTTCATCAACGTCAACCAGAAGCTTGTCGAAGTACTGAGCGTCTTCGGGCTTCATAAAAGGAAGGTTGCCTTTTGGTTGGTTGTCAACGTATTTAGCGCTCTTGTCTTCCGTTTGGATAAAGAAACCTTGGGGAGTTCCCGCCATTGGCGTAGGAGTAGCTGTTAACTTCCTAGCGGGGGTTCGGATGGGAACATAACCTGCTGGAGGCTGGAGAATTTTGTACCCTGGAGGGAAAAGCGAGTCTAGCTCGTCGTCGGATAAGGGGCGGTTTCTTTCGTCGATTTCACGCTCCCAGCGGTAAGCTTGGAGTTGTTCTGGGGTTAGGGACATTAGGTGGCCCGGTGTGGGGGTGGCGAGGCCCATTGCTTTGGGCCCGGTGGGGGTCACTGCGCTTGGGGTCATTATGGAGGTTTGGTGCGGGGTTGTTAAGGGTGTCGCTGGGGTCTGGGGGGTCATTGAGCCCGGGGTTTGGTTAGAGGGCGTTTCGTCCCAACGGCTACGACGCTTGGAGGCGGAGGGGGTTGGGGTTTCTTGGATTAGATCGCCCGCTACGCGGTCTGTTCGGGGAGTCTCGGCCCAGCCGCTGTTGTGGCCCGGGGTCTCGCGTTCGGTTTTGGGGGTCTCGTCCCAACGATTTCGGCGACTGGAGAGCACTTTGTCGTGTGAAGGAGTCTCGCGGCCGGGAGTTACTGCTCCGGGAGTGGCGTGGCTGGGGGTTGAGTCCCACATTCTGGTGCTGACGCCTGGGGTCGCGCCAGGGGTTTCACCGCCTTTGCCGTGGCCTGGGGTTTCATCCCATCTTATTGCTGCTGGTGTTACCTGTAATTTATTATTAATTAGGCTACATTTAAAAATGTATTTCTAGATACTTAATTAAGAAATAACCTTGTATCTTGTGAACTATTGGAAATTTTAAAGATATAAACTCATCCTGATGTCATAATTATCGAGACCTTTCATTTGAGTACCCACATCAATTTTTCATATATTTTATAAATTTATGCATTTCATAAATATCATATATGTAAAATATATCAAAAATGCCATGTAGGTACTCAAATGGAAGCTCTTGATGAGTGTATCATCGGGATGAGCTTATATCTTTAAAAATGTCAATATTTAAGAAAGTACAGTGCAATTTAACAAAATTCATTATTTAATCAAGTTTAATTTGATAAAAAAATAGAAATTATCAATAAAATATCATTAAATTTTTATAATTTAATATAGATTTTAACAATTAATTGATTTATTTATTTATGAAAACAAGCTCAATGACAATTAATGTAAAATTTAATTGAGTAAAAAACCTTTTTAAAACAATAACTAAATAAAAAGACAACCTAAGTAGTTTCTGACCTGAAGATTATTTTTGATATGAAAAAAATTTAGGCTGATTTTTTTCTGGCCTTCTAAATGAATATAACTTTTAATATTTTTTTTTAATAAAAAATGTCTCAATAATTTTTGAGTACGTTAACAGTGTTAAGATTGATAAGTAGGTCTTTAACTTGAAATTTAAAAAAATAAAAAAAAGAATTCTTACGTCAGTGTTATCCCAGGAATTAGGTGTTGCTGCAGTACCAGCAGCTTTTTTGGCCGCTGGCATGTCATCAGTTTGATCCCAACGGCCACGTTTCTTAGGAGCTGGTTTGGGTTCACCATTAGTAGCTTTGAGTGTTCCATCTTTAGCTTTTTCTATTATTTTTTTACGTATCTGAAATCATAATAAAAACTCATTAATTATTTTGAATACGTTAAATAAGTTTACATTTTAATAATTTCTAAAAGATATTTTTTTTATTCAATAAGAAAATCGATCATTTTCTCTTAGTAACTTTTCAGCCGTACTAACTTGTATCCGGGTCAAATGTTGTTTTAATAGTTTTAACAACAAATTCAATTTATGTTTGTTATTAACTAACATATTTATAATTATAGTTTTAAGAACGAATTTTGTTTATGTTCGTTATTAATTAACACCTAAGTTTATCAAGATCGTGTTGTCAGCATGCTAAATCCTTTATTTGTGTTTTTTAATTAGATTTTTTTTAATTATCCTAAATAATTTATAGTTAAATATATAAACAATAATGTTTCTAAGGTTGAAATAATATAAAAGTCTTTTTAATAAACAACTTGATGTAGACGTTTTGTACTTTTCCCACCAGTCACAAAAGCCTGTCCCACCAGTCACAATAAAAAAAAATTTTTTTAATTGTTTCTACGTAGGTAATCACTCTAATTCTTTATAATATTGAATGTTTGTAGGATAAATTTAGTATTTTCGAGGGAAGTATTTTTTTTTAGTTTAGTGGTCGAACTGAAATTGGACTTTAAGTATACCTTTGGTAAGAGAGAAGGATTTGTTCTTAGTCCCACCAGTCACACTCAGTCAAATGATAATTACGAGAAACTTAAAAAGTAATCGAGGTTTTTGACAAAGGGATGTTGTTAATTACTTATTCTTTTATATTATAAAATAAATTTGACTATCATTTAGATTGAACCATAATTTTAAGATTTATTTTTAAATATTATTAAATAATAAAATAAATATTACCTCTGATTCTTCACCTCTGACCATCTGCTCTTTCATAATCTCGGTGTAAGTACGTGAACCAGCATCTGGAGTTTTACCACCTGTAACCAGGAATCAAACGTCACGCAAGCGTAACAATTAGTATGATTAATTAAATAATAATTATCATAAATATATTATAATAATATAATAATAGAATATTAAGAAGAAAAAAAAATTAATAAAATTGTTATTAATAAAATGACTTCCTAGTCCAGTTTAAACTTTTATGGTGTTTCAATGTCCGATAATTGGTATTGAAGCTACTGAATTCACTCTCGCAAATCATTTAAAGTTATTAAATAAAATAATAAACTCTTTAGTCTGAAGATTAAAATAATAATTGATTATTATAATAACAGTTAAAATAATTATTAAGAGTTTTGTCAGTAGCCCAGGGACATTATTAAATACGTACGTGAAGGTTTATGGCCATAGGGGAACACTCGCCTGCTCAAATGTCTTCCACATCGTTATAAACTTTTAGCCATCTAAAAATTAACTCATTCTCGTTATTAATAATATGTGCATTCAAAACCACTCATACTAAGAGAACTCAACTGAATTAATTTAACGGTTGAACCAAAGCTTGAAAATTTATAAAACTTTTTTGTCTTGGTTGGATTTTTTTAGGATAAAAAAAATTAATAAAAAATTTTTGGGAATTTTTTATAATAAATATTTTTGTATGCAAGAAAAGAAAGTTTGATTGCAAGCTTTGGTTAAGTATAACTACAATTCAATGCCGGTTTATGTTAACCTTCGACAAAGTATCCTGGGAAAGTGGATGATTCCAAATGTGTTGATCGTCACTAAGATTGAAAAAAAATTCATACATTAGTATGGTTTTCATTTGATAACAAACACACAATCATTCTTCGGACATTCATACTTAGATAATATTATTGTAGTGGTGATGTAAATTATGAACTTTTTAAATTTTTATTTTTTTGATTATAATATAAAGTATTTAGACCGTGTTTGAAAATGCTTCATTTCTAGGTATATTATTAAGAAATTACACTGTATCTTGTCAACTAATGACATTTTTAAAGATATAAGCTCATCTTGACATTATACTCATCGAGACCTTTCATTTGAGTACCCACATCAATTTTTCATATATTTTATATATTTATATATTTCATAAATACTATATATATACATATATATATATAATATATGAAAAATGCTATGTGGGTACTCAAATGAAAGGTCTCGATGAGTGTAACATCGAAATGAGTTATGAGCTTATATCTTTAAAAATATTAATAGCTAAGACAGTACAGTGCAATTTAACAAAAGTCATTACTTAACAATGGAAAAAAATAAAAATTAGTAAGAATTTAACAAAATTCATTACTTAACAATGGAAAATAATGAAAATTTCTCAAATTCATATTACTCAGCACTTACAATCAATAATTGAATAATTAAAACTTTGACTTAGAAAAAAACTCTAAAAAAAGCGTAAGATAAATTAGCGAAATAATTGAAAGTTTAAACTTTAATCAACGAGCTCTTTTACCTTTAGAAAATAATAAAAATAAAGTTTTGCGAATAATATAAAAATGTACAAACCATCAGCAAAAGGATCAACTCGATCTGGTGAAATGATCATGTGGCGACGTTTCTGACGATATTCATCTTCACGATCTGCTATTTTTGGTACTTTGCGATCGGCGAATGGATCATAATCTCTGTCGCTCTAAAAAAAAATTAGTAAAATAAATAATTAATCAATAATACTAATACAATTACAATAATACTAAAGTTAGCCGACGTTTTTAATTTTTTATTAATTAAATTACAAATAAAAAATTTTTTTTAAAAAATTGCACTCATAGTTTTTCTATTTTTTTATTTTGTAATAATTTTTCAATAAAAAAATTTTTTAAATGTCGGCTAACTTAATTTTCATATTAACAGACAGTTAATTAATGAAATAAAATAAAATACCTGAGCAATATCATTAAGCAAAGCAGCTGGTGGATTGTATCCAGCCCTTTTGTTAGAGCTGAATGTGCTGGGCTCATAATCATCATCGTCGGCTTCATCATTAGTTGCAATAGATGTAACGTAGCCTTCAAATTTGTTGTTGGTTCCATCGTAGATATCTTGATCATAAAATCCCGTTTTTCCCAATCCGACTTGTTCTTTTTCAGTCACCGCAGTTTGGATTTCTTTTTTCTTGGACTGAATTTCCCGGATCTGAGCCTCGATATCTAAAAAATTTTAATACAATAATTAACAAACTTAACCTCAAATCAATCGTTTTAATACACAGTTTGTTTTTATATTTTTTTCAGCAATTTTTGGAGTCATAACAATTGAAAAAAATATTCTTTAATTATTTAATTTACAAAAATTGACTTTTTAATTATTGAATAAATAAACAAATTGAATTACCTTCGTGAGTACGTGGAATGGAGTCCATCGTAGTGCTGTTTGTGCTTTAACCAATTACAGTGTTAAGTCACGAATTTATTTGGTTGTAATTACAGCCAAAATATTCGGCGATTAAAGTGAATTTTAATTACTTGTTTTTTATACACTTATTATTGTTAAACTTTTTAACTTGTAACTAATTGTCCATCGTAAATTCTCCTGACGCAGATGCACAAATGGCAAATGGCATTAAAACGTTTAGCTTCGTTTAATTTCACTAATTCCCAGTAGTGGGAGAAAGAAAATGGCGGGAGTGATTTTATTGGCTATTGGGTTAGTAGAGAGTGGTAAGTTTTGCCGCCGCGGGTGGCGCTAGTGTCTTCGTCTCTTTTTTATAACGTATTTTCTGACGACATTAAAGTTAACAGTCACTAGATGAATTTTTTATTTTATTTAACAAAAAAATTTGCTCTAAATTATTTATTTAAAATTATATCACCCTTAAGTTGACATGACATTAGAGTTGACAATTTTTTAATTTTATTTAACAATTAAATATTTTCTAAAAAATTGCATTTATAATTTTTTAAAATTTCTACATGTCAATTTTTTTTTGCCATTATTTATTTATTAAAAAATTCTTTAAATTATTAAATATCTGCTAAATTAATTCTCATGAAGTTGACAGATATTAGAAATTTTTTTAGAATTTTATAACAATTAAATTATTATGGAAAAAAAATTTAATAAAAAAATTCCACTTGTAAAAATTAAAGAAAATTTAAAAGCAATTTTAGTATTGTTATAAAAATTTTCAAAATTGACAGCTGTCAGCTAACTTTAGTATCATTACAATTGCATTTTTTATTTTTTAAAATTTGTACATGTTAATTTTTTTTTTCCAATTATTTATTTATCACCAAAATTATTAAATATCTTGTAAATTAATTTTCATTATTTTCTGAACTGTCAAAAAAATATGGATTACAGTGTATAACTGACCAATTCATTTAGATTATTTTTTTTTTTGACAAAAAAAGTGTTTTAATTATAAAAAATTTGTTTTATTCTATTTTTTAATAAGTGAAAAAATGTGTTTTTTTTTTAATTTGTAGAATTATTTGAGTTTTTTATCGGTGAAAATTGGTAAGTTTGCTGAACAAAGTTTATTTGCATTTTTTTATAACTAAATTATTATTGCAAAAGTTTAATAAAAGAATTACAAGTGCAAATAAAGAAAAAACACTCTCTTTTTATAATTCAATTTTAAGATACTGGTCAACTGACGCTGTAAATTTTTTTTATTTTTATAACAAATTAATTACAATAAAAAAAATGCTTCTAAAAATTTTTTTTAATAATTTTTTTTAATTTTCAGAAGTGGAATTCTTTTATTAAAACTTTTTCACAATAATTTAATAGCTGTAAAATTTTAAAAGAGATTTTCTAATGTCTGTCAACTTTTCAGTGTTAATAATTTTAATAAAAATAAAAAACACCTATTAGATGTCTTTTAATTTAAGTATCATAAAATTAAAAAATTAGTTTTTTAAAATATTTCTGTTTTATGAAAATTAAGTTAGCCGACATTTAAAAATTTTTAGAATTTTTTTTTATTGAAAAAATGATTAAAAATAATAAAAAAAAATTTCACTCGTAAAACACTTTAAAAACTGTAAGTACAATTTTTAAAAAATAGTTTTTTTTTTCTAATTTAATTATTAAAAAAAAAATCAAAAAATTAAAATCATCGGCTAACTTTATTATTATTTCTGTTTTTTGTTTCAGTGGATTAATAAATTTTGGAAAAATTTATTAATTCTGACATTCGGTCAATGATTTAGAAATTATGGGATAATTTTTCAAGACTTTTATAATTTTTTTTTCATATTCTGCATCAAAAAATAAGCATGTATAATAATAAAAATATGCATAGAACTAAATAATATTTTTTAAAAATTGCACTAATAGTTCGTCAAGTTTTTTATAAATGCAAATTTTTCTTTATTTGTTTGTGATAATTTTTGAATTAAGAAAAATTTTTTTAATTTTTAGATGTCTAACTTAATTTTCATTAAAAGTTTCATACTTGAAAAATTGCTTTATTAAATTAGAAATTGAAAAAATCAAATTTTTTCATAAATTTTATCAAATAATAACTCTTTAATTATTAATTCTAATAAAATAAAAGCATATTGAATTTAAAATAACACTGATGACACATCACGATTAAAATTAAAAGCAAATAAATAAATTATTTGGCACGGTAACCTTAGCAACGGCGAACCCCATCGGTCTTCAATCTATTTTCTAAGCTGAAAAAAGAAAAACAATTGTCCGTTCACTTTCACCGGCTACCTCACTTACTCACTAACAAGCTTATTTATCAGAGTAAAGTAGAGAGTTGAGTGCAACTTGTTACGTTGATTAAAATCACTATGATAAACATCGTGCACCAGAAAGTAACAAGCAAGCCGCCGATAAGCCAAAAATTTACAAAATCACCCCGAAATGCGGGGGAACGAGAAAGAAGTAGTGAGAAAAAAACTAAAGAAGAAATCAAAGATTGCAATCAGAATATTATTGAGACTGATTCCTGCTCCTTGGACCAGTTGTGCAGCATGATAAGCGACCTGGAGCAGAGTCTTGTCCAGGAAGTAGTCGCTGTTGAAACTTGCACTCTTCCCGCGGAGAATCCTGCTGCTTTTATTGACCTGGACCATGTGAGTAATTATTGAAAAATTTTTTGATAAAAAAAAAATATTTTTTAATTTATTTTTGACTTTATTGATGACTAAGTCAAAAGAGAATTTTTATCAGTATTGATAGCATTAAAATTAATTTTTATAAATTATCATAATTATTATTGTAAGTCCACTAAAATTATCTATATTTTTAAGAGAATAAGAAAAATTTTGTCTCCAGGATAGTCATATAATAAAAATTTTTTAGTGAAATTTGGTGTCATTGCATAGGTCTTGACTTGAATTTGTGCCTTTTCAAGGTTCCATATCATTCTCACCGGTAGTCAATTTATTATAAGTATTTAGGGTGCATTTGAAAATTCTCTATCTCTAGATACATAAGAAATGACCTGTATCTTGTGAACTACTGACATTTTTTAAGATATAAGCTCATTTTGATGTTACACTCATCAAGACCTTTCATTTGAGTACCCACATCAATTTATTCATATATTTTATATATTTATATATTTCACAAATACCATATATATAAAATATATAAAAAATGTCATGTGGGTATTTAAATAAAAGGTCTCGATGAGTGTAACATCGAAATGAGTTTATGTCTTAAAAAATGTCAATAATTAAGAAATGACATTGTATCTTGTCAACTATTGACATTTTTAAAGATATAAGCTCATCTTAACATTATACTCATCGAAACTTTTCATTTGAATACCCACGTCAATTTTTCATATATTTCATATATTTATATATATTATATATATGTATACATGAAAAATATATCAAAAATGCATGTGGGTACTCAAATAAAAGCTCTTGATTAGTGTTACATCGAGAAACGCTTATATTTTTAAAAACGTCAATATTTAAGAAAGTATAGTGCAATATACCAAAAGCCATTATTTAATAACGCAAAATTTCATTTCTTATAGTTCATAAGTTACGGCAGTCACGCAGTGATTGCAAGATTGCTAGTTAATTTCTTAATAAATTAAAAAAAATCATAAAGATTATAAAATAAATATAAAAATTAAAAATAAATTCTTTTTAAATTCTAGATGATTGATAAAGAAGATTGCGGATTTAGCGGAACTTCTGCTTCAACTTACGACGACATAATGTCTTTTTTAGGAACACTGGAGCAAGATTGTCCAGTAGGAGACTTCGAAAGTTCTCCTAGACCCGAAAAACTCCCCGAAGAAATCTACCAGCTGCAATCTTTGATAAAAAATCCCAACCAAGCTTTAAGCGACAAGACCAAAGACGATCTAGCAACTGCGTTGCTGCAATTAGAGGACCGAGAGGCTACACTGAAGCTTCTGAAAGAAGAGTTAAAGAATGAACGTAAAGCTGCCTGTGATAAATTAGATTCCCAGAGAAAAGCTCACGTTACTGAATTGCAAACCCAGAAGACAAAGTACCAGAATATAATCCGCCGGCATCAGAAATTTGTCGAGCAGCTGATTGAAGAAAAGAAGCAGCTGAGTGACAAGTGTAATAATTTAGCGATTAATATTAAAGACATGGAGATAAAATATCAGAAAGAGTCAAAGCTAGCGATGGACAAACACGCGGTGGAAATCCAGCGAGTGAAGGAGATGTGTTTAGCTGGAGAGAAGGTCCGGAGAGAAAGGTGGCTTGAAGCTAAGAAGAATAAGATTAAAGAGTCGACTGTGAAGGGCCTGGAGCCTGAATTGAGGAACATGATTGACGCGCATCAGAAAGAAGTTCTGGAGATCCGCAGCGTGCATATGAAGGAGCTCCAGGATGTTGAATTAAGAGCCATAAGACGCGCGAATCAGCAGCTGGAAGAGCTGAGGTTGGAGCTGACTGCTAGTCATGATAAAGTGTTGGCTGGAGAGAAGGAAGCTATGAGGCTGAGGTACGTCAAAATTTTATTTATTTATTTAAAAGATTTTTTATTTAAGGTAAAAGCTCCAATTATTGACACTAAGCGACAAAGTTATGATTTGATTTTTTTTCTGATTATTAAATTCTGTTTTTAATACAAAATATAAAATTTAAAAAAAATGTAAAATGTGAATGTAAAAATTTACAAATTTTTTTTAGATGAATTTTGTCAAAGAAAATTGGAATATTTTTTTTTATTAAATTTTATTTTTAATACAGGATAAAAATAGAAAAAAATTGTAATTATTGACGTTTTAAAATCACAAAGTTTTTTTTGTTTAATTTTTCATAATTAAAACAAAATTTCTCTATAAATTAATTATTGAAAAATTAGAATTGAAAATTCAACAAAATTAAAATTTTTACTTTAAAATTGATTTAACTAAGGTAAAAGCCCTAATTACTGATACTATGAGAGACAAAGTTATGATTTGATTATTTTTAAGCAATCAAATATCAATATCGTTGAATTTTGTTTGTGGTAATGTCTCAAGTAATGTTTTTATTAATCAAATTTTTGAAAATTATAATCACAGATATTTACTAATTAATTTTAAATAATTAAATAGATTATCCGGATACACCAATTATTTTTTTAAAAAACTGATTGATCTAATTATTGACATACTTTAGCCCCAATTATTGACACCTATACTGCGCATGCGTCGAATCATCTGCTTATTCTTATTTATCCAAACTTATTATTAAGTAATCAATTTTATTAAAGTTTATTAATAATAATTTCCATAAATGATTAATTACTATTAAAAATATAAAAATTAATTAAAAAACAATTTTTTTAATCAGAAGAGTTCAAACTCTTACAGTTAATTTTTTAGGTTAAAGTTAAAAAATGGCGTCTTGGCGCTGTTGACTGGCTGTCAATATGAGATTCAACTTAAAAATTATCAACTAGTTATTGACACCCATTATTTAAATATTATAAAGCATACAATTAATTTCGATTGTTCAATTTTATAAATTTTTTATATATTGTTAATTAAAAAAAAAAAAGATGATATTATTAGAAGAAGAAATGAATTTAAACTCGGCATTTAAAAAAATGCTTTTCTAATCAAAGTTGTTAAGAAAATAAACGTTCGTAAGCTGGTTTTAACAGGTGCTAACTTTATTTTTTAATAATTAATATTTAATATTAACTGACAGTAATTTTTTTAAATTTTTTAATTAATTAGAATTTAATAAAAATTTATATGATAGTTATTCTTATTACAGATGATTAAATATATTTAAAAATAATTTAGGGTGTCAATATTTAGACTCCTGTCAATAATTGGGGCTTTTGCCCCAATTATTTTTCTTTAATTAATTTTCGTATTTTTCCAGGTACCAAGAGAAGTTTGACGAGCAAGAATCGATGATTCAAGCTCAGCAAAGGAAGTTTTTTGAAGATCTCCAGTTAGAAAAGAAGAAATTTGCGGAAGAATTGGAGAGAAGAGATACTGAGCGGGACGCTGAGCTTCAGCGGGTCATTAAGCAAAGCCAGGCGAAGGTAGAGAAGTTGACTACGGAGTTTGAAGTGGATAGGAAGAAGCTGAGGGTAGATTTAGAAGCTGAGAGGGAAGCTTGGGTGGAGAATTTTAAGAAGCAGCAAAGTTCAAAGTTTGAAATGGCTGAGGCGAGGGTTAGAGACGAGTGCAACAGGGAGAGAGACAGGCAAATTGAGCTCGCGATCGCGAGGATAGAGAAGGAGACGAGGGAGGTTAAAGTGAGCTTGCAGAAGAGTGCGGAGAGCAAGCTAAAGAGCTTGAGGGAGAAGTACGAGGCTGAGTTGGAGGTAGCGAGGGAAAGTGAAAGAATTGTTAGGGAGAAGTTGGAGGTTTGTGAGGGTAAGGTTGACGGGTTGGAGAAGGAGTTGAGGAGGGTTGAGTGTAAATTGAGTAAATGTTCGGTTGAGCTCCAGGATTTGAGGAAGTCGGAGGAAAAACTTACTGAGGAGCGAGATCATGCGAAGAAAATTGCGAGGATGGAGATTGAGAAGGAGAAGAAAGTTTTGGAGGATAAAAATGATGAACTTTACAGGGAAATTGAGCGGATTAATTGTAATAGGGATTCTAATTTAGCGCAATTGTACAGTAGGATTAGGTTAATTGTTACGCAGAAAGATGTCGCGATAAAGAGTCTTAGGAGGGAATGTGATGAGGCGAGGAATAAGTGCGATCATTTGGAAAAATTGATAGATCAGCAGCGGAAGGAGTATGTGTTGAAAACTCTGTAATTTTAAGAGGGTATTTATTACTGTAAATAAGTAAATTTATTATTTGTGCTTTCTTTTGGAGAGTATTTTTTACAATTAAAAGTAAGCTGGTGAAAAAAAATTTGTATACACATTCAATGCTTGATGGTGATAGGTCAAGACTTATTTCATTGATAATTTTTTTAGGTGGTATCATTGTCATTCAGACTTTCTTTACAACTTGTACAACATCTTCGTCGCTTAGTACGTGATCTTTTCCGACTTTTTGGGGCTGGTGTTTTACTGAGGATCCCCAGACCAGTGCGCTGAAAAATTATTTTGGTTATTTTTTTAGGAATAATAATTTAATTTAAGATCAATCAAAATTTTTGACGTCAATTTTTAGCAATATATCTAAAATATATAAAAAAAATATTTTAGGGCTGAGAACTTAAAATAGAAAAATTTTAATTTAAAAATTTCAATGTGAACAAAAAATACTTAGGATTAAAATTTTTGATATTTTGATTATACTCTAATTGATCCAAAAATTTATGATCACAATTAAAAACTTTTATTTTTGTAAATGATAACTTACTATTTAAATTCCTTAGCAATAGATCGATGGAGTTTGTTACAAAAATCTTCAACAGTTCGTCTTTCTTTATTCAATACCACAGGTGAATTGTAATCAGGAAGTTGACCTTTCGGTTTAGTGTAACTAGAAGAAAAATTAATTATCTATATTATTAAAAGAAGAAAAAAATTTTTTCTCCAGGATAGGTATATCTCTAGATACATATTTAAGAAATGACCTTGTATCTTGTGAACTATTCGCATTTTTAAAGATATAAGCTCACCCTGACATTACACTCATCGAGACCTTTCATTTGAGTACCCACATCAACTTTTCATATATTTTATATATTTATATATTTCACAAATACCATATATATAAAATATATAAAACATGCCATGTGGGCACTTAAATGAAAGGTCTCGATGAGTGTAACATCGAAATGAGTTTATATCTTAAAAAATGTCAATAGTTGAGAAAATACAATGTCATTTCTTAATTATTGACAATTTTTAGGATATAAGCTCATCCCGATGTTACACTCATCAAGAGCTTTCATTTGAGTACCCACATCCATTTTTGATATATTTTTCATATATACATATATGTAATATATATATATATATGAAATATATCAAAAATGCCATGTGGGTACTCAAATGAAAGCTCTTGATGAGTGTGACGTCAGGATGAGCTTACATCTCTAAAAATGTCAATAATTAAGAAATGACGTTGTATCTTATGAACTATTGACATTTTTAAAGATATAAGCTCACCCCGACATTACACTCATCGAGACCTTTCATTTAAGTACCCACATGGCAATTTTTATATATTTTATATATATGGTATTTGTGAAATATGTATACATATAAAATATATGAAAAATGCCATGTGAGTACTCTAATGAAAGGTCTCGAGGGGTGTAATTTCGGGATGAGCTTATATCTTTAAAAATATCAATA